AACCTTGAGAAAAAATATGACTAGTTAGTACTTTTGAATTTAAACAATGACAAAAACTTTTTAAAACCTTAACTCTTTCCCACACTTTTCTTTTGATTTTAATTGGGGAATAACTCTCTCAAAGAAGGACAACTGGGCTGTTTTGGAGCTTTTGACTTTTCCTTTTTTGTCTTAGTGGTAATAAGTTTGTGGGTTTTTTCCAAAAAATGAAAAGGAAACGTTGTTAAAAAGGAAAAAAATTAATTGCTTCTGGGCAGAATCGAACCCGCGTGTTCCGCGGTAAATGCGGGCTCCGAACCCAGAACTATCACCACTGAACCTAGAGCTCTTTTGTTACTGGGTTCTCCGTTGTATATTTATATACTTCAGTAAAATTTTCAATGTAAATACAAGGTCCGAGCAAAAGTCACTAGGTTCGCCCGAACCCACACTCACTATTGCAGCTCCGCCCCTGATCCAGATGGCTCCCTACGAGGCATTATATGGTAGACGGTGTCGATCGCCGGTTGGGTGGTTTGAGCCGGGGGAGGCTCGGTTATTGGGTACAGATTTGGTATAGAATGCCTTGGATAAGGTTAAGATCATTCAGGATAGACTTCGTACAGCTCAGTCCAGGCAGAAGAGTTATGCCGACCGTAAGGTTCGTGATATGGCATTCATGGTTGGAGAGAGAGTGTTGCTTCGGGTATCGCCCATGAAGGGGGTTATGAGGTTTGGGAAAAAGGGCAAGTTAAGCCCTAGGTACATCGGGCCTTTTGAGATCCTTGAGCGGGTGGGAGAGGTGGCCTACAGACTTGCGTTGCCACTAGGCTTATCAGCAGTACATCCAGTATTCCATGTGTCTATGCTTCGGAAGTATCACGCGAGCCATCCCACGTGTTAGATTTCAGCACTGTCGAGTTGGACAAGGATTTGACCTACGAAGAGGAGCCGGTACTATTCTAGACCGACAGGTTCGTTAGTTGAGATCGAAGAGCTATCCTTCGGTTCGAGTGTAGTGGAGAGGTAAGCCTATTGAGGCAGCTACCTGGGAGTCTGAGTCCGACATGCGGAGTAGATATCCCCACCTTTTTCCCAGCTTAGGTACTTTTCTACGTCCGTTCGAGGACGAATAGTTATTTTAGAGGTGGAGAATGTGATGACCCAAAAGGTCATCTTATGTTTTAGAACTCGATTCCGTGTTCTGAGGTATTCAAAACCTCATTTTATTCCTCCTCGATTTGCATGCGCAGTTCGGGCGTGTTTCCGGAAAGCTTTTATGTGGAGAGTTGAGAAAAATAATAATTTTTGCCTTTAAAAGTTGATTTAGTTGACTTCGGACAACGTTTTGAGTAAACGGGATCGGACTAGTATTTTGACAGTTTTGGTGGGTCCGTATTGAAATATAGGACATGGGCGTGTGATCGGAATCGGATTCGTAGTTACCTAGCCCGAGTAATTAATTTTCGTTAAAAATTATAAGTCTGAAAATCTAATGGTTTAAAGAATTTAATTACTGTTTGATCTCGTTGGTATCGGGCCCGTATTTTGGTTCCGAAGCCCGGTATAGTTTAATATAATATTTTAAGTCATGTATGTGAAATTTGGTGAAAATCGGAGTTGATTTGACGTGATTCGGGCATCCGGTTGAGAAAATAGGAATTTCAACGTGTTCTTAAGAATTTCATGTGATTTGGTGCTAAATTCGTAATTCTAGGTGTTATTTTGGCGATTTGATTGCACGATCAAGTTTGTATGATGTTTTAAGACTTGTGTGAATGTTTGGTTTGGAGCCCCAAGGGCTCGGGTGAGTTTCGGATAGGCTACGGGGTGTTTTGAACTTAGGAAATTTTGCTGGTATAACTGATCTTGTTGCAGGACTCTGATCTCGCAAATGCATCGCAATTGCGAACCCTGTAGGTTCCGCATTTGCGAGGCTTTCATTGCAAATGCGAAGAGAAGCTGGGCCTGTGGTTCTCGCATTTGCGAGGTTACCTTCGCATTTGCGAAAGGAGTCTGGGAGGGGCATGGATCGCATATGCGATCTTTTACTCGCATTTGCGAGATTCAGTGATCGCAATTGCGACACTTTCCTCGCATTTGCGAAAGCAGCAGGAATGTGAAGGGCTTCGCAATTGTGATAGCCCCTTCGCATTTGCGAAGCTCAGGTCGCAAATGCGACATCTGCAGCTGATGAAAAGAGACTTGGATGGGATTTTTCTCCCATTCTTCCAAATTTCAAACCCAAGAACCATAGGGGCGATTTCTTCAAGGCCATTTCTTTCCCAAATCAGAGGTAAGTTATTCTTAATTCATTTCTTTCAATCTTTCACTTCATTTAACAAGATTTCAACCTAGAATCTAAGATTTTCATGGTGGAACTGGGGATTTTTGGGTAGAAACTAGGGATTTCGAAATTTGGGGAGTTAGACTTCAAATTGAGATCGGATTCCAAAACCAATTGTATATCCGGGCTCGGAGGTGAATGGGTAATCGGTTTTTGGTCCGAATTTCGGGTTTGGACCAAGCGGGCTCGGGTGTTGACTTTTGTTGACTTTTTTTTCAAAATGGCCTAAATTGAATTCATTGCTATCGTGGGTAGTTCCTAAGGCTTAAATTGAATCATTTGGTTGGTAATTTGCTAGATTCTATTGGTCTGGAGGCTTGTGTGAAGGGAAAAGCTGTGATTGAGCTTTGAGTTAGTCCGTGGGATCGAGGTAAGTGTTGTGTCTAACTTTGACCCGAGGGATTAGGGACCCTTGACCTAATTGCTATGTGGAAACCATGTGAGTGCGTATAGGTGAGGTGACGAGTACCTATGCGCCGCCAATTTATCTGTTTTGCTTGTTTCCTTCCCGTTCTTATTAAATTGTTTTCCTTCCTTAACTGTTACATGCTTTACTGATATTTCCATACTTAATTGCTACTTGTCGGATATTGGTTTTCGTTGTTAAAAGTATTAAATATCACGTAGTTTTATTGTCTCATATTATTGGCTTTAGCAGGTTTATCGGTATTTTATGATATATTTTGTATTGGGTTCGCTGAGTAGTATTAATTGTGTGAAGTTTCATAATGTACAAGTTTTCCGTTTGCTTTGGTTTGAGGTTCAAATATTGTGGAGAGTATTGAGTTAAATTGTGAAATTTATGTTCTTACTGTGTAATTGGTACTGATATGGAGGGATCGGGTTGCACGCCGCAACAGGAGGAATAAGGGTGATATATTGAGGAGGAATAAGGGTGAAATGTCATTATATGGTTGGATCGGGTTGCGCCGTAACAGGAGGAATAAGAGTGATATATTGAGGAGTAATAAGGGTGAATTGCTATTGTACGGTGGGATCGGGTTGCACGCCGCAACAGGAGGAATAAGAGTGGATTGATATGGAGTAACAAGGGCGAATGTTCATATTGATATTGATTATGTGGTGGGATCAGGATGCGCGCCGCATCAGTTTATGTATTTTCTTCTACTGTGTAGGTTATTCTGTAGTTTTGTATTTCACTTAAGGATTGGTTATAGCTGGATACTGATGAGATACTGGAGTTCCGTAATTATTCCTTGCAATTAATTGTTTCATTTTGTTCCGTCCTTCTTTCCGCTTTATTTCATATTGTATGCAGGTTATATTGTAATTGCTCCGCCGTAGCCTCGTCACCACCTCGTTGAGGTTAGGCTCAGCACTTACCAGTACATGTGGTCGGTTGTACTGATAACTAAACTCGGCACTTTCTGTGCAGATTTCTGAGCAGGCAGTGGCTGATTGAGAGATTTGACTGCAGGTTGCACAGTTTGGAGACACAAGGTAGTTGTGCTGGCATCCGCATGCCCTTGTGTCCCCTTCTACATCTCTACAATATTGTTTTCTTTCTTTTCAAAACAGTTGTAATTTCTTTCAGACTGATGTTTGTAGAAAATCATAGTATGTTCATGAGTTGTGACACCGAATTTTGGATAGTAATAGTAACAATATATATATATATATATATATATATATATATATATATATATATATATATATATATATATATATATACACTCACTTCCACAATT